AGTCTGAAAATTACAGATGAGATGTGGGAAGCTGACGCACCTGAGGGGTGCCAAAGCAGGTACAAAGTTGATTTAGAAGACAACTGCATCCCCATCCTGCCTGCGCCCCTAAATTGAGGCCTCTGGGTCTCTCTTTCCATTAGAGAATGGACCGAGCTCCCAATCAAACAATAACCCTGAAGACCGTTACAGTAAATGGAATGTCAATTTTAGCCAGCCTGCACAGGCTGCATCGTCACCCTGGACCCTACTACTCCAGAAATGGGGGAAAACCACCACCCCACCCAAGCCTACATCTGGACGGCGTAGAGACGGCATGGGCTTTGGCCCCCGGCCCACACCTACCTGTAGCAGGTAAACTCGAATCATGTAGACAAAGCTCAGGCCCAGTGTCACTACCCATCGCACGGCTGTGTAAGGTGTGGACTTGTCTAGCCAGGACTGATAGATCTGGAAAGACAAGGGTTCACGTGCACTGTGGAGACCCTGCGCTGTGTACGGTAAAGCATACTTCCCACAAGCTCTTGCTCTGCACTTTAGGTCAGCAACAACAAAGCAGTGACTACGGTTAACCCAAATTCCTGACACAGGTCCACCCCTCAAGCAACAGTGTTACAGAACAATCTCTCACAGCTGACAACCCTGTAGCATCAGCCTAAGGGCTCCCTCATGCCCTTCCCAACCCCTCCCCGAGCTGGCCCCAGGGCGGACCCTGCCTCTGCTCTCAGGCCAATCAGCCACAGCCTGACCTCCCACAGGTGTGGAGCTCATGTGTGGAATTTCCAGAAGAAATCTTTGGCTTCACCCATATACACACATACATGTGCGCAGGTACATGTAACTAGCAACATATGTGTGCTGTTTAATTTTAATTTTGAAATTAATTTTAATTTTTAAATTTTTAATGAAATATGTCAATAGTTCATAAAAGTACCCACCACCTGGCTTCAATAATTATAAAGTTTTCCAAATACCCTTTTTTAGTTTTAAAAATATATATTTCTAATTCTAAACCAAAACATCACATCAGTATATGCACTTGTTCACTGAACCAGACTTCCGCACTCAGCATGTGATCGTGACTGTAGCAGGCCTTGGCACAGCCCACAGGTACAACCCACAGGTCAGCGCAGAGCTGGGCCAGGGGGCATAAGAGCCCCCCTGCCCCTGCCAAGTGGACATGGAGGTGGGCAGCTGGGATAGAGGACGGTAAGAGCACAGCAGGGGCCACCACCATGCCACCCAGGAGCAAAAGTTTAAAAGGTTGTTGGGGGGGGGGGGGACAGAAAACAAGTGTATGGCAGAGAACATCTGTGGTCCCAAGGCCAAGACCACTGTCTGGCACTTTACAGCTGTGCAGAGGGAAAGTATAAACCGAGGCTGTGGGAAGGCTCGCTACACTCCTGCTGGGAAAGCGAGTGGCCAACACACAGGTCCCTGCAGAAAAACGTCCTAGAGCCAACCTTTCCTTCCTCAGCTCAATTATCTGTTCATCAAGTCAGTTTTTTCACCCGTGGAAAAACCAACCTGTCCAAGTCTCGTGAAAAATCTGTACACGACAGAAGGTTTCCCATGGACAGAATCTCCAACACTGTCACCTTCGGACATTCTGTAACTGAGAAACAAAACACTTTAAATAAAAACATTCAAGGATCTTATCACTTTGCCCTAACTTCATCAGGCAATTTTTTTCAATATTCACTACTTGTTCCTTCTAATGTCTTTGCCATAAGTTGTCCAGGAAAAAGAAACAAGAGGGGTCCCTGGGGGGCTCAATCGGTGGAGCATTTGACTTTTGGTTTCAGCTCAGGTCATCAGGGTGGTGAGATCGAGCCCGTGTAGGACTCTATGTTCAGCAGGGAGTCTGCTTGAGATTCTCTCTGCCTCTGTCTCTCCACCTCACTCTAAAATAAATAAAATCTTTACCAAAAAACAAACAAACAAGGGACCCCAGTGGAGAGCCAGAATGGTACATGACACACAAAGCACCACTGGATGGACTGTTTCTGCTAATATCACCTGGACCGCACCCCTCTTGTTGGTCCCCAGGAGCTGCCCCTGCTGACCGTGGAGTCCTGTGGATAGTCTCCCTGGTACTGGTCCACACTACAGGCTGCTGCACCCATGTCTCCCTCCTCTGGTCTATTCCTAGGGCTCCCCTCAACCCCTCTTCTCTGGGCCCAGCCCTGGGCTCTGTCTAGGCTGCTCCTCCGCAGGACACCAGCAGTCAGCTGGGCAAGCCCTGGTCCTCTCAGGGCCTGGTCCTCCACCCCATGAACAGGAAAATGCACACGATTTCCAGGGAGGGAGCCACCGTCTGTGCCCCAGTTTGTCATCTCTAAGTGGAATTGATCCTATCTGCTCCTGACCATTTCAATGTGCCTGCCACTGTGGATTCCATGAGGAACTAACTGATGAGAACCTGATAACCAAGCGAGCTTCATTATCTCTATCTTGCTAAGGAGGACCAAGTCTCAAATACTTCAAGCCACTGACCTAAGGTCAGAAACTGCTCTGCATGACTGGAGTTTCTCTATTGGAGCATGCTGTTGCCCACACCAGAGAACTGAGGTGCTGGTGAAGATGCCCAGGCGAAGCTCACTGCTGCACCCCAAACCTATGCACAGCACCTTCCCCAGTAAGTAGCACGGCAGGGCTCGGCATGGAAGCAGACACAGTCTCCAGCTCCCTATGTCCAAGGCACCTGGGCTATACAGCGGTGTGGCCTCATGGACACAGCAGCCCGTCCCATGCAGACAGGCAGCTCACAACTGCTACAGCGGCCCCAACGGCCAGCCTGCATGTGTGGCTACAACCTGAACCCACACCTGCCTGGGGCCGTGGTTCCCAATCACATCCTCAAGGCAAATAATCAGAACATCCTCTTTTCAACGTGAAGTCAGCAGGCTTAGGTGACTCTAGACCTCAAAGGGAAAACTTTCCAATTACAACTGAGATACTGAGACCACCTGAGCAGCCCTGCCATGCCACGGCATCTGGTCTATGTCACACCTGTTGCTGGAGCCACCATAGGATGGGCAGAGGGCCAGGAGTGTCAATGGGATGGAGAAATGCCCTTTGCCCTCACAAGACACAGGAAGTACTGACAACTGAGTGAACTGAGCAGATGAATCACAGCCCTGGGCCCCATGTCTCCAGGAGGTGCGTTTTACACCTGGGTGAGAGGATCCTATATTGTATGAGATTCCCTAGGATGGCCAGCCTTCCTGTCTGGGCCAGAGACAGGCCAGCAGAAAGCTACATCAGTGATACTCCTTGTCCTGGGGATCTTCACAAACATCTTCTTTTATTTAGGACCAAGCGTTCACCATGAAAATGCTTTTACTTGAACAGAAACAGGAAAAACTGTCACAGAGGACACGCCTGGTGAGCCCTGGACCCATGCACTCTAGCTGGAGACGTCCGTGGCTTTTAGATGAACGTCCTGCCAGCTGCTGATTGTCTGACAAGCAACACATACATCGTTGCATGGCCTCCGCTGTCACAGAGACTTGAAGCACGCCAACACCAACTCCGGAGTCAAGCTGTCCCCTTCTGGAGTCCGGTTCCATCGATTCCTATAGCAGTGTGGCACAAGCGACCCTTCATTCCAAGCTGCGACATGGGGCGACAGCATCTGGGCGCCATCCTTAAAGGGTCCTTGCAGGGACCCGGCCGTGAGCCCCGAGAACCTGGCACCCCGGGAGTGAGAGGCCTCCTCCGATGGGCGGCCATGCCTGTGGGTTGGGGCCAGGCTCCCCCCAGCTCCTCCCTCTGCTCCGTCTGAGGGTCACCTCTTCGGATAGGCCGCCCTGTCATCCATCCCCAGGTCACATCACCTTGTTTTTACTTTATGTAACCAACCTTTTCCGACCTTCCTAGTGTTTCTTTATTTCCTATTAGAGCGGGGGCGGGGGGGGGGACCTGTCTGGGCCACGGTTGCGTCCTGCCCCCTAAAAAGGCCTGCTACACAGAAGGTACCAGTAAACTACCTGTTGGGTATAAGTGCTTGATGCTCAATCACAAAGAAAACAGTCAAAAACAAAATAAAGGCGTCCCAAGGAAAGTCCGCGAGCGTCACGCCTGAAGCCGCGCACGGATGTCTGTGGGCCCCGTCCGGCCCCCGGCCCCAGCACACAGCAACCACGGCATTTCCAGAGCCCAGCTGGGCATCCGGGTCATCCACTCGCTCCTCCTCCCGGCCCACCTGCAACCTCGGTGCCGCTCCCTCCGCTCAAATGCCCTTCCGCACGTCACTCACTGGTCCTCGGCGACCCCCGCCTGCGGACACGGCCGCCCTGAGGTCTCCCCGGCCCTGACCTCCCCGCCCTCCGGGACCTGCTGGCTCAAGGGGCTCTATCCCCGCCGAGGGCAAGACCAAGTCCACGGGAAAACTTCGGGCTCCCGGCCGCCCGGACTCGGAGGACACGAGGGAGCGGAGCCGACGGCGGCCCCCGGACGAGGGCGGCTGCGGGGGCCCGAGAGCCTGGGCTGCTGCGGCCGCAACCTGCAGCGTTCCCGAGATCACCTTGAGCGGCCGCACTCCCACCCAGACCCCGCAGACCAGCCCCGGGACCGCGCAGGGACCCGACAGGGAAGGGCGGACGTCCGCCCGCGAGCCGGAGGGTGGCAGCCGACCCCTCCCGGGCCGCGCCCGCGGGCGGGGGCGGGGGCGGGGACGGGGGGCGGTCCCTGCGCGCCCCCGGGGGCCCCGAGACCCCGCGCGCGACCCCAGCCCCGCGCCCGCCCCGCGCCCCGCGCCCCGCTCCCAGCCCCGCCCGCCCGGACCCCTGACGCCGCCGGCACCTCGCCGCTCCCTGCGGCCGAGCGCGGTCTCTGAGGGCCGCGGGAGGAAGGAGGACGCGGGCAGGCGGCCGCGCCGGCGCTTCGCACGGTCCGGGAAGGGCCAGCCGAATACTTCCGCTCTGTCCCGTGCGGCACCGCCTCCGGAGCCTCCAAGATGGCCGTCGGGGCGGAGCTAGGAGCCTCCAACCATTTCCGCTTCCGGTGCAGGTGTCCGGGCCGTTGGCGGGGCGGTCCCCTCGACGGAAGGGACGTCAGCGGCGGAAACGCGCCGTGCTGCGCATGCGTCCTTGTGTCTTCGGGCTCCGGGCCGGCAGAACTCCAGTCCCGAGATTGCTACCGCCCGGGGACTGACCCACCAGCCAATGGAGGAGAGCTTTGCTGGTTGCTAAGGAAACGCGAAGCGGCAAGATGGCAGCCGCGGGCGGAGGGAACCCGAGCTCCAGTCGGTCGTCCCGGGACCCGCGGAGGAGGCCGCCGCGGGACGGTAATGGCTGCAGGCGGGGGCCGGGTCTCCGTCCGCGATGGGGGCGGGGGGAGACGGGCCTCGAGCACCCCGGCAGTCCCCGAGGGCTCTGGGAGGAGCGGCGGGCGCTGCTCGTAGATCCACACGATCGTGTCCGGAGGGGGGGGGAGCCCCAGCCTCTCCGTGGACGATACGGGAGTCTGGCGACCACGCTGTCCACGTCCCGCCGCGGACACGGGCTGGTGGGGAGGGGGCCCGCCTTCCCGGGAACCGCCGGGGCTGGCCGTTGCAGGCGTGGACTTTGTGCGGAGGGGACCCGACGCCGCAGCTCAATGCCTGCGGAGGGACCCCAGGGCTGACTCCTTCCCCTCGCCTGCACTCCGCAACTGCCGCCCCTCTTCACGCCGCGGCCTCTCGGGGCCCCGGGCTCCCGCATCCCGCACCCCCTCCCCCCCCCAGTGTCCGGGGTCTCGCATCCTGCAGCCCCCAGTACCCCTCCCCAGTGCCCGGGCTCACGCATCCCGTACCCCTCTCAGTTCCCCGGGCTCCCACATCCCGCATCCCCTCCCAGTGCCCCAGCTCAAGCATCCTGCACCCCCCTCAATGCCCGGGCTCCCGCATCTTGCACACCCCACTCAGTGCCCAGGCTCCTGCATCCCTCACCACCCTGCAGTGCCTGGGTTCCCGTATCTAGTGGCCCCTCCCAGTGCCCGGGCTCAAGCATCCTGCACACGCACACACACCCGTGCCTCCCCCTTAGTGTCTGGGCTCCTGCATCTTGCACCCCCCCCCAGTGCCTGGGGTCCCTCATCTTGTACTACCCCCCACTCAGTGCCTGGTTCCCGCATCTCACATTCCCCAGTGCCCCTCTTCAGTTCCCGGGCTCCTGCATCTCACACCCCTTTCCAGTACCCAGGCTCCTGTATCTTGCATCCTCCCCCCTCAGTGCCCGGTCGCCTGCATCCTGCACCCCCTCCCAGTGTCTGGGCTCACACATCCTGTAATCCCCACTCGGTGCCCAGTCGTCAGCCAGGTCACCTGTGGCACCATGTGCTCACCATCCATCTTTTCAACATTCAGGGTATGGTGTCTACGTGTACCCGAACTCTTTCTTTCGATATGAAGGAGAATGGAAAGGAGGAAAGAAACACGGTGAGAACTGTCTCTGGCCTGTTCCCACAGCTGCCCCTTGCACCAACAGCCCATGTCCTCGGGGAGCCTGGGCCCCCATACCTCCTCTCACTGGTGCCCACCAAAGGCCATTCCCTGTAGTGAGCCTTGCAGCTCACAATGCAGCACATCCCAGGCTGCCTGTGGCTGACAGCCCTGCAAGACCCCTGGTCAGTGGCCTTCTCCTGGGCTCTGGGGCACCCTGGGCAGGGGAAGCCTCAACTTAGAAATCCTCCCCTGAGTGCCTGAGTGTTAGTCTGTCTTTGCCAAAGTGAAAATTGCTTTTATGGTTTATGTTTGATGAGTAAGATATTACCCACTTTTGTATTTATCAGAAAGATACAAACATAACGATTCCAAGGGGCACCTGCACCCCAGTGTTTACAGCAGCAATGTCAACAAGAGCCAAACTGTGGAAGATCCCAGATATTCATCCACAGATGAGTGGATAGAGAAGAGGTGGTCTATCACCAGAATTCTACTTAGCCATGAAAAAGATTGAAATCTTACCATTTGTAAAGTCGTGGATGGAACTAGAGGGTATTATACTAGTGAAATAACTCAATCAGAGAAAGACAAATACCACATGATTTCACTCATATGTAGAATTTAAGAAACAACAGATGAATGCAGGGGAAGGGACGGAAAGCTAAAATAAGATGAAAAAGAAAGGGAGGCAAACCATGGGAGACTCTTAATCATAGGAAACACACTGAGGGTCACTGGAGGGAAGCGGGTGGGGGATGGGGCCCCTGGGGGACAGGCACTGAGCATGGCCTCTGATGGGATGAGCACCAGATGTTACGTGCAACTGATGAATCACTAAATTCTACCCCAGAAACTAAAACACAGTCTATGTTACCTAAATTGAACTTAAAAAACCTTTTTTTTAAAAAAATTTTTTTTTTATTTATTTATGAGAGAGAGAGAGAGAGAGAGGCAGAGACACAGGCAGAGGGAGAAGCAGGCTCCATGCACCAGAACCCGATGTGGGATTCAATCCCGGGTCTCCAGGATCGCGCCCTGGGTCAAAGGCAGGCGCCAAACCGCTGCGCCACCCAGGGATCCCTAAAAAACCTTTTTAAAAAGAGATTACTTTTGTAGAAAATCTCAGTATCATGGGAGAGAAAGTGTCTATTTGCAGTTCTGCCCGTGTGCGTCCTCTGCCCGCTTTTCTCCTGGAGAATTGGTCTTTCAGCATTTTCTTATGTGAGCTCTTTTTGTGTCTGCTGGCTGCCAGTATTTTTCTGTATTTTTAACCTTTTGACTTGTCTTGTTGTCACATAGATGTTTCTCGCTTGTGTCTGAAATCTCTGCTTCTCCTTCTCTGAGCCAGGCATGGAGCCTCATGTCTGAGATGCTTGCCAGAGCCTGGCCTGGACAGAGTGGTCCCCGCCCCCCCGCATTTTTTTTTTTTTTTTAAGAATTTATCTATGAGAGACACAGAGGGAGAAGCAGGCTCCATGCAGGAAGCCCGACGTGGGACTCGATCCCAGATCTCCAGGATCACACCCTGGGCTGAAGGCAGCACTAAATCACTCAGCCACCCGGGCTGCCCCTGGTTCCCCCTTTTTAAATGTTTTCTTGAGTGCCCACAGATGCCGTTTCCTTCGGCCCTGGTGCTGATGGAGGCCAGGTGACCGTAGAGTCCCCTCTGAAGAGGTTGGGCTGGGCTCTCCCTGTACTTTGATGGCCCCGCTGTCATCCTGGCTGAGATAATCCTGTTTCAAGAATGTTTCTCTTGATGAACATGCATGTGGGTGAGTTTGCAGAGAGCAGGTGTGGGACACACAGCAGAACCACACACAGACCTGAGAACTCCAAAGCCCAGCTCTTTCCGCTGAGAAACGAGTCCCACCACACATGGACACGAGGGGTTTCTCTGACTCTGGTCTGACCTCACGTCATGATTTCTTTCCACAGGTTGGGGGAAGCTGCTATTTAAAGACGGGAGTTATTATGAAGGCGAGTTTGTAGACGGGGAGATCACAGGGGAAGGCTGCCGGCTCTGGGCCTCATCAGGTGAGCAGTGGGAACAGGTGCAGGTGAGCAATGGGGACGGGTGTCAGCTCCTTTCTTGTAAACCATCTTTGCTGTAAGTTGTCCCTGGCTTGCGGATGCAGAAGGCACCTCTCTATCTGGGAAGTGCATCCTGGTTTCCATAAGGTACCCTGTCAGCAGCGTGCTAGCCTAGGGCAGGGGTGACCATTCACAGACCTCCCCAGGCCAACATAGGGGCTGTTTCTCCATGGACAGAAGGCCCACCCCCCAGACTCTGACCCAGAGAGACCTTTGCCCTTGGGCACCTAGATGCCACAGAGAGGGTCGTCATAGGACGGGGGTCTGCACCCACCCACTATGAGCAGAGGGCATTGCCACCCCTGCAGGAGCCAGGAGGGCAGGACCAAACCCACGTGATCCTGTTTTCTCTCATTAGTCAAGGTAAATAGGAGATAAAGAGATACCCTTCACCTGTTCTGACACAGTACTCGCTGCCACCATTGAACAGGGCAGGAGGGGTTTAATTGTCAGCCCACAGGGGACACAGGTAGCAGCACTAACCCTGAACATGCCCCCTGCTCCTCTTCTGCACCAGGGAACACCTATTCTGGACAGTTTGTTTTGGGAGAGCCTCAAGGACACGGCATCATGAAGTACAAAGCTGGAGGACATTACGAAGGGGAGCTCTCCCACGGCGCCAGAGAAGGTGTGATGCCTACAAGAACTTGCTGAGTGTGGCAGGGCACTTCATGGGGAGCCCTGGGCCCCAGCACCCCTCCCCAAGGTCTGACCTGGGGCACCTGGCGGGGCTCGGAAATCTGTGCCTGCCTAGGGAGGCTGACGTCCACCAGTCAGATGGGGAGTGCTTTGTTCCCTGCCCCCACAACCACTCCTTGTTCTGGGTGGAGCTGTGGCCTGGGGACCCTGCCACTGTGGCTGTGACCACAGGTCATGCATCAGTTCACCACTGCTGTGGTTAAAATCTAGCAGCTCAGAACAACTGCCATTTTATTATTTACCCACAACTCTGGAGGTCAGCAGTCTCCCCAGCTCGGCTGGGCAAAGCTTCTGGCCTCACATGGGGTCACCCCTACAGTGGAGGTTGCAGATACTTGAGCAGGGCTGATGGGCTTGGAGCTCCTGCGGGGTGAGAAGCTGTAAGTCCCCTGAGGACATGTTGCTGGATAAAGCCGGTCAGGAGGCCACACTTGGAGGACTGCAGACTCTGCCCTGGGGGTTAGGGAAGCATCCTGCAGCCTATGCATCCCTGGCAGCCCAAAAACCGAAATGCTCACTGTTCTGAAGACCAACATCCAGAAGCAAGCCAAGCGGCCACGAGGTCCAACGATGCCTTTCCAGGGTCCACTCATGTGGGAGGATATGCTTGTGTTTCTGGCTGTCCTGAACCACACAGTGAAGCCCTCTTCTCATGAATGTGTCCTCTGGTCTTTGTTTTCTTTTCTTTTCTTTTCTTTTTTTTTTAAGATTTTATTTTTTATTCATGAGAGAGACAGAGAGAGAGAGAGAGAGAGGCAGAGACACAGGCAGAGGGAGAAGCAGGCTCCGTGCAGGGAGCCCAACGTGGAACTCAATCCCGGGTCTCCAGGATCACACCCTGGGCTGAAGGCAGGCGCTAAACTGTTGAGCCAGGGATCCCCTCTTTTTTTTTTTTTTTTTTAGATTTACTTTTTTTTTTTTTTACTTTTTTTTTTTTTTACTTGTTTATTTTAGAGAGAGAGGTGTACAAGCAGGAGGAGGGGCAGAGGGAGAGCAAGAGAGAGAATCCCAAGCAGACTCCCTGCCAAGCATGGAGCTTGATGCATAGCTGGATCTCACAACCCTGAGACCATGACCTGAGCCCAAACCAAGAGTCAGACCTTCAACCAGCTGAGCCCCCCAGGTACCCCTGGCCTCTGGCCTTTAGACCCAGGGCCTCTGAGTTGTCACTGGAGGCCCAGCACTGGGCCTCTGTGAGATGCAGGTTTCCTGTAGACTTACCTGTACACCCTTGATGGCCAAGCTAGATGGCAGGCATGCCAGCCTCAGATGCTAGGGCCTGGGGGACCTTCCCCTGGCATCCTGGCATGGGGGTCACCAGTGCCATGCCTGCCTGGGAAGCCCTGGCCTCGGAGGGCAACCTGATTCCTGGAACCGCGCTCACCCCAGCTTTCTTCCAAACCTACTGCCACCCTCTGGGTGGGGGAGCTTACAAAGCCGCCTCAGGGAAGCAGGGTCTCTCCCCCCCCCCCCAGAAGATGCAGGAGGTGACACTCAGTGCCCTGGGCTCCCTCCCTAGGACATGGGCATCTGGTGGATCCGGACGGACAAGCCTACTGGGGGTCATTCCATGACAACAGGCGGCATGGCCAAGGGCACATGGTCTTCCAGTGAGTATGCCATCCCACGGTCTGTCCTGGCCTCAGCATGTCTTCAAGATTCGGGATTCCACACTTTCTTAATTATTGACATTGGTTATTAAGGTGTCTGGTAGAGAAAACCTTGACTCCCCCTAGTAAATACCTCCTGGAAGCTTGAGTGGCAGGAGGGTGGCATGCAGGGTCCACGCAGGAGAGACAGAGGCTCTCAGGCACTGCAGGACACAGTGGGCCACCTCTTCATGCCGCCATGGCAATGTGCAGGTACATACCTACTGCTCTTCTCCAGTAGCCTGTCCAAGTCTTACACACCTGGGGGCCAGGCGAGCGGGGGCCAGGGGCCGGCTGCCATCACTCCCCACCGAGCACCAAGGCCTCCTGCCCCTCCACCGTGGGCCCTGGCAAGACAGGAGCTTAAGCCATCTGCTCGGGGCCTATTTTTGCCTCCGTCCGGGTGGCACATGCTGAGCCCGGGTCGGAGGAGTGGGTCTGAGTCAGCGCCACCACCTGGCTCTCCCCGGTCTGAGAGCAGCCCATGTTTGTGTCCCCAGGAATGGTGACAAGTATGAAGGCAACTGGGTCCAGGACCGGCGTCAGGGGCATGGGGTGCTCTGCCGTGCTGACGGCTCCACCTATGAGGTACTGGGAACGTGGCAGGACACTGGGCTCGGGGGCCCTGCTGGGGTACTTGTGCCACCTGGGCGTCCTCGTGCTGCATGTCAGTACTACTCCTCCACCCAAGGAACGGGGAGGAGGGGGTGGCACACCCCACTTCCATGATGAGGAAGGGAGGGAAGGGCCCCAGCTCACACCTTATCCGTCTGGCTCCTGAGGTGCCCGCAAGCTGTGCTATCACCTGTGGGAATGGGGTGACATTTCTCGGGCGCTTGAGGATGCCCTCAGGGCTGGTGAAGAGCTTTTGATGAGAAATGCCCGCCCTGATAACACAGGAAAGTGGGTGAGGACACCCACTCCTCCTTGCAGCAGGCACTACCCTTGAGTCTCACGGGAGTTGGGAAGAGTCCAGGCAGATCCAAAGCCACTACTGGGATCCCAGCATCCATCATTCATTTTTCTCGTCAGACACTGGCCACGTGCCCAGCCAGGAGCCGATGGAGCAGGAGCCAGAGATGTGGGTCTCGTGAAGTGCTGGCTCCTGCCTCGGCTAGTTGGTGGCTGGAGTGACAAGTAACCCCATTGGTTCTTCAGGCAGCGGGGTGGCCACAGGTCCAGCCATCCTCTCTCGGGTGTCATTCTTTGAGCCGAGGCCTAAGTGATAACAAGAGCCCCCACCACCACTGTAAATGATGACAAGAGCCCCCACCACCACCGAGGAGCGAGGGCAGGGTAGGAAGGGCAGCAGGAGGAGCCGGCATGGCCAGCCAAGGGCTCCAGGAGGGCCCGGGAGGCCCTGCAAAGAAGCGGCAGTCCGGTCTCAGTGTCTGAGAGGTCCTTCCAGCTCTTGTTGGGAAGGCACTGCCGTGTCAGGAGAGGTGAGAGTTCAGAGAACAACATTGGAGTGGCTCAGAGGTGGAGAAGCCAGCCTTGCTGGCAGGTTGGATGTTGAGGCGAAGGCAAGAGGAGAAGCGAGGGTGACTTCTGGGTTTTGGACTTGAGCATCAGAAGGTGGCAGTGCCTGGAGCAGAATCCCACCAGGAGGCAGGAACTACACCAGTCTGTCACCGTGGAAATGCGTAGCTGGGGAAAGGTGGTGATGTGTTCAAAGGGGTAAAAGCAGAAATGCAGCAGCAGCAAACGCACAGGTGGCCCTGGAAACGCCCCCAGAGATAGGTCTGGGGCCCCTGCCCATGCAGCAGGGCTCATTGGGGATGGAGAATCATGGCGTGTGGTGACCTCGCCTTGGTGGCTGTGACGCATCCACCAAATCGGGCCACAGGCCCAGATGCTGCTGCGCACGGCTGTTCACGCAGGGCCTACTGCTGGCGAGCGGCGCAGTGGGTACCAGTGGAGACCATGAGGGGTCCAGCTCCTGCAGCACAGACCCAGTGAGGGAGGGTGAAAAGCGATAAACTGATTGATCACTGGCCACCTTGTTGAGACAGAGCGGCTGGGGGCAGCTGGTGGAGAGCCGCAAGTGTCTGCCCCGGCCTGCTCAGATGCCAGCTAGAGCATTGAAAGCCCCAAACAGCTGCCTTCCCTGCTCATAAAACAAGCTCAGCTTGTGTAAGACAACACCCAGGCCGGGTCAGGGCAGTCGGCAAGGCCTGGCGTCCAACATAAGCTCAAGGGGGTGCATCTCTTTGAGGGGACATCTGTGCAGCCTGTAGGGACAGCACAGGCTCCCACAGGCTCCCACTGCCATCCCCCCACACCTGGAGTCATCCCCACAAACGTGCACAGCCACAGCTCCAGGGGCTGGGGTGGACATAGGCAAGTTCCCGGTGCGCACCACCAGAACTGTGAGAATTCAGCCATGAGGCTTCATACCGTGGGCACCAGGCTCTGTCCTCAGCCCCAGAGTGCCCCCACATCGTGGAGGAGGGAGCTCCAGCCAGAGCCCAAGTGAGATTAAGAAGCAACTGGCATGACCTTGGCCCTAGGTGGGTCCCCTCGGCCAGACAGGGCAAGCGGAGGGAGCATCTCGTTGCTTGGAGCCCCCAGCTCTGCCCTGCTCCGGGGGCTTGTCTGGCCCTCTGCCCGCCCCGCCCCCCCGCCCCCCGCCGCCTGCAGGGCCTCACCGAGGGGTGTGGCTGCCCCCACACACACACCCCACAGGCCTTCTCTGCAAATCATGGGTCAGCTGGGGGGGACAGGACTAGGGCAGCAGCCTTCCACACCCCTGGCCCACCCGTGGCGCCCATCACCTGCCCAGCAGTCCACCAGGGGGCAGCCCAGGCCCACCAGCAGTGTGGCCCAGTCAGGCCTTGCAGGGGTTTCTCCCACTAAGGAGACATTTTGCTCCAGCTTGACCACTGGGAGCAGGGTTGCAGAAGGAACCGACTGGAGCTGCAGCTCTCCAAGGCCAAGCTGCTTCTTCACAGAGCGACACCAAAACTCAGTGTCACGGGCTGCACCATCCCAGCCTGCAGACCTTGGGACCCTCCACACGCCCTCAAGGGATGCGTGTCCTCAACATGGGGCACCTCCCACATGAGTGAGCATGGAAGCTTGGTCTTCAGCCGCATCTCCCCAGGATGCAGACTTGCATCTGCCTGCATTCCCATTTGCCTGGCAGCATCCCAACCTTCCAGAACCTTGTGCCCCAGGACCTTGGACAACCAGCCTGCCACTTGCAGCTCAGAGCACTGCTGGGGGACTGCTGTGTGGGCAGCCCCTGGCCACACAAGATGGCAAGGATGCAAGCAGCCACCTCACCTGCAGTCCTGAGTGGCTCCTGGGTCCTGGACAGAGGGCCGGTGCTGGGTCCCTCGTGGCATTCCTCTGCCCTCCAGCCGCTGTTGAAACCGGCTTCCAGAGGCCTGTGCAGATGGACAGGGAGAAGGGCCATGCCCGGGAGAGCAGTGGGGTCAGGCTGCAGCCACATAGTGACCTCAGACGCACGCGCTCGCCGCTGCCAACATGCGGTCCAGGGCCACCAGGGACACTTGGCACACAGTCTGTTGCCAGGCCTGGCCCATGGGGAAGGTGCAGGCCTCTCCACACTGTGGGGACACCTCTCACCTGACCTCCGACCTCCGGTCATCAAGAGTCACCCATAGACCGGGCGCCGCTGGAGGGAGCGGGGCACGACTCCCAGGCGCATCTCCCAGGAGGGCGCGGCCGTTCCCCACGCTCTCACTAGGCAAACAGTCGGCCTTTGGAAAACACCTGTATCGTAAAATACACCTAACAAAATTTATGGCTGTAACTGCCAAGCATACAGTTCAGAGGTGTGAAGCACATGGACGCTGTTGTGTGCCCATCACCACCCTGTCTCCAGAACTTTCCATCCTCCCAGACGGACTCTCTAGGAGCCCCCCGGCTCCTGGCACCCAACCTGCCACTTCCTGTCTCGAGGGATCTGACCCCCTGGGGACTGCACTGCAGGGAGCCCTTCGGGACCCGTCCTTGGGGACAGGCTTATTTCAGGAGCATGAACTCCCTGAGGTTCATTGTGCTCCTTTGTTTCTAAGGCTGGACCATGTTCCGTCGTCGGGAGGGACCCTGTTCTGCACACCCATCCATCCAGTGATGGACACCTGGGTTGCCTCCCCCACTTGGCTCCTGTGAGCAATGCTGCCGTGACCGTGGGTAAGCACACAGCTCTCAGCCCTGCATCCCGGTCTTCAGGGTGTTGATCCAGGAGAGGACCTTTTGGACCACATGGCAGTGCCCTGCTTGATTTCTGGGGAGCTCCACACCGCCTGCCCTGGCGGCTGCACCATTTTTCTTCCTGGAGCTGCGCACAGGGTTCCGATCCATCCACACCCTCGCCTGCACTTGTCCTTTCCTGCTCTTGAAAACAGTTGTCCCTGCATGTTCTGATACCATTCACAAGAGTGGCTACTGTCGGGGATGCAGCCTCCCTCCGTGCTTGCTGGGCTCCTGCGCGGCCTCACCCTCCTTCCCCATGTATCCCTTGGCTGGACCGCCGGCATTCACAGCTGCTCTCACCTGGGGAGCGCTGGCTTCACCACATGCGCTGGGACTCAGAAACATCCTTGTGCCAGCAGGTGTAGCAGGATTCCTGCATTTCTTCATTTCCTCCCTGGGAGTGTAGACTCCCACCCTCTTCAACCCCGAGATGTCCAGAAAGCTGCTCTGGGCACCCCCTCAACACGAGCTGTCCCTCAACCATGTCCTACATCAGCTGAGTCTGACAGAACTTGCCAGACCTGAGGGAGGAGGAGTCCCAAGAGAGGTGGGTGCTGTAGGGCCCCATAGGGCAGGGGACCAAGACTCCTGTGCAGAAAAGTCTCCTTCCCAGTGGCAGGGGTGCCTCTACCACACTGTCCCTGCTGCCCATCACCAGTACTCCCAGATGCAGGCCGCTGTAATGAGCCTTTTAAAAATTAGTCCTAGAAAAAATCCACTCTTAAAAATATTACAGCGTCTCCCCTCCAGACATAAAACAGTGTGTCTCAAAGCCAGCATGGCTTCTCTCTCTCTCCTGACAGGAGCCACAGGTCAGGAGGGGGCTGGTGGTTGTAAGTCGCTCACTCTGAAGAGAGCATCTCCTGCCCCTGCTACTCCCTGAGGGTCTGTGCGGGTTACTTCAGGGCCCCCAGCTTGCACTTGCTGACCTTCCGTGCTACCTCCGTCTCCACGGGACTTGGGGGTGGGCAAGCCCAGCAGCTCCTCCCAGGACATGGCCACAGCACGGTGACCCCCACGGGCTGGGGCAGCACTCAGGAATCCCTGCATGTGGAGACATGCCACATACCCAAGCTGTTGGTGAACTTCGGTGCTTGTTTGCACAGCACACCATTCCTGCATGGCTGTCGTGTGGTCCCCGCTAGAAGCTGCTGGCTTCCGGGCTGTCCCTGGGGCTGCTCCATGCACATTGGCTGTGTTCTTTGTGTTGGCTTTCCCAGAGGGAGGCCTGCTGGTTGGTACACCTGCTTGCCACATGGAGCAGGTGGCTGGCCTTATGTGCGTCTTCACCTGCTGACGGCTCCCAGCTTCCGTTGTCCTTACCTGTGTGTCTTCAGGAACACCAGGGGCCTTTATGTCCTCACACCACCCTTCCCAGTCCAGGAATGAGGTGCACTGCACACAAGGACCATAGAAGCCTCTGGGCCCGTTCAAGCATGTGTGGGGGTAGGGCTAGACTGCCGAGCCATCGCGGGAACCAGTGCCAGGCTCCACATCCTCATGGGGTTCATATGTCAACAGACATCAGAAACAGTCATGGAAAGGCAGCGAGCGCCCCAGTTCACACTTTGAAATCTGAGGAATTTACAACCAGGGTCATGGAGGTCAGACACTGACCCCCCATGACCCCACTATTGTTTGGGAGGCTGATGAGCAGGATGCACACCCATGCCACTGACACATGAGCCTGTGTGGCCACTGCCACCTCTGCAGGCCACCCCCCAAGAGGGGGATCCAGGTCCCCATGTCCTCGTGACCAGACCCCAGGCCACCCCACCTGGTCTACAAGTTTGTGACCTCACCTGCTCCGACTCCAAGATTTGGCAATGATGGGGAGGCTGTGAATATCATCTGAGGCAGACACGAAAGAGTCAGGCCCTTGGGCCTTCCTGGCCAGTCAAACCCTGGTGCCCGGGGAGGGCTGGAGGCAGGAAGTGACCGGTGTACCAGGCTGGAAAGTGTTTGTCTGCCTGGGAGCACCAGAGGGCATGGGGGGAGGGTGGCACGCAGTTGGAGAAGCTCCCTAAAATGAGAAGAAAGTCAAATAGTTATCACAATTTATTCCCACCCATTTGTGGTGGGCAGAGCACTCAAGGGGTCTCTCATCCCAGCGGCCCAACTATCCTGGGAGCTTTGGGCACTCAGAAGCAGGCCTAGCCGCAGAGTCTGCTGCATCCCCTGAGTCCTGGGGGCACCCCAGCACCTGCAGGGTGACAGGTGCACCTCACCATCATCCCGCAGGATGGCTCCCTAAGAATTGGACTCTGTCCCGCCAGTCTTTGTGATGTGGACACAGGCCCCATCCCTGCTCTCCGCATCACACCTGCGGTGCATGAGCCCTCCCCTGGGCAGGCAGGGGCAGGGATAGCAGAGGGAGCCCACTCCAATGGAATGCGCCCCCACCCCACCCCCAGCCACCTCCGTGAGATGCTTTTGGGTGCAAGTCAGCTGAGAAAGGGCAGAATTTTCAAAGGTATGATTTATACCATTAATTAGAAAAGATTCCTGGCTGCTGGGTGAGGTACATTATGCACTGGAGCATTTTTGTCCTGGGTAAGTTCTGCATTAAAGCTGTGAATAGAGGCTCCCCAGAGGTTCCAGCAGCGCGAGGACAGGTCGCCTGATTTGAAATGACCAGGGAAAACACGTTGATAGTGCACTGCGTGGGTGCAGGGGTGCCATGGCCCCACGGCACATTTACAGCCACTTAGCAGGCTTCACTCTGTGCCCACAAGCTGTCCCTGAAGCTCCAGTGTGGAATGACCCGTGCATCCACTCTTTCCTGGGGTGACCCAAGTCTGTGCCTTTGCAGGGGGCTGGGCAGACAAGAGGGAGAGTGGAGATGAGAGGTGGCCATTCTAGTGGCAGCAGCAGCTAGAGTGAGGGCCAACATGGGGGACGGGCCCTGCAGCCATCTCTCGGTTTGGAGAGCTTTTCAGGCAATGCTGATGTCAGCCTCTGAGTGGTCCTGAGGGAGCCCGGGAGCGTTGATGATTAGCGTCCATCTGTGGGACCTGGGACTCCTGGCTCCAGGAGCCCCAGATGCCCCCAAGGATGGGGAAGCAACAACCACTAGGAAGTACCGCAGGGTTTCACTCCATCTGGCTGGAGAGTCTGGAGCCGCATGGTAGAGAGCCGACAAGGGAGGTGCAGGGCTGAGCCGGCACTCCATGCAGAATGAATTCCAGAGCCAATTTCCAGCTTCTTGAATCCTAGCCTCCCACCTGGGAGAGCATATGAACGCGTGGCCGGGCTCCCCGCAGGATGGAGAGACCCCGGCACACCTACATAGGGACAGGAGTGAAGACTGGAATGTGTGGGCAGGTGGCCGGCTTCCCAGATCATGGGCACAGGACTGCAGCTCTTGCCGCTGGGAAGGCAGAGGGTGGAGGGCAGCTGGAGCTAGGGGGCTGGGAAAGGCAGGGGGCCCCATGTGAAGGCTTCACTCTCTATGAGGCACAGCCATCCCCTGGGGCCCCTGCCCCTGCCCCTGTCTGGGCCTCCTTTGGATCCTGACCACATCTCACTGTACCACCTGTTGATGGTGGCCCGGGGACTGAGCCCAGTGGTTTCTAAGCAGAGGGCAAGGTGGGTGTTGGGGGCAGTGGATTTAGTTCGGCTCCTGTGGGGTTTGCATTTGTTGGGCTGGGAGTCCTGTGGCCTGAGTTGAAATCTCACCATGGAGGATGGTGTTGTGAGGGAAAGTTCCCGGCAAGCAAGCCATGCCAGTGACTTCTTCACTTCCAAGCCTCATTTTCTGCCTCCCAGCAAGCAGATAGAGTAACGGGGGTCTCTGGGGCAACCCTCTGTCCTCCCAGGGCTGCCCCCGCCTTGACCCATAGCTAGTAGCCTATGTAGGACCCTCCTACTGCTGTCTCCCACCCAATGCACCTTGCCCATCATGGTGAGAGGGCACCGCTGCCCCGCCTCACATAGGCTCACGGGTGCACAGGTGCACATACACACATACACAGAAACTCATGCACACACATCCCTGTGCATGTACCTGCCTGGTGGTAGGGCCCAGGCACCCGCTGCTGCTGCTCAGAGGTGGTCAGCTGGCCACTCTGTGGCTGCCAGGTGGGCTCCCACCTGAGTCCAGGGTGATAGAGCGGGGCACACTGTCTGGTGAGGGTCCCCCCTCTGCCCTGATGCCTGGGGGTCTCGCCTCCACTTTGGTCTGACCCCATTTCCTGCACACATGAGCCACGTCCTAGAGGACATGACATCAGCCGCGCATGGCAGTGCACATCCAGGGGACACAGCCAGATGCAGCCTCAGGAGAACACGCACTGTTGGCCCTGCGCCTCTCTGGGCTTTGGGGTGGGAGGGGCAAGGCTGTGTGGTGGCTGCAGTATGGCCCAGCCTTTCCCGGGACGGGGAGATAGCCTGCCCCTGCCCACGTGGACCCCAGCTGCAGCCCAGCCTCTCCTGCCGGCTGCCAGTTGTCCAGTGCCCTGGCCCACAGGCCAGCTGTGATGGGGTCTGACAGGGATGTCCCCCTCCACCCCTCAACATGACCTGGCTCTGCAGCCCCGGCTCTCAGTGACTCTGAGCTTGGGGCATGAGTTCTGCAGGGCTGCAGCCTTCAGGGGCTGTCCCTGCACTCCATGGGCCCCAGCGGCACCCCTTCTGAAGGGCCTGAGAGAGCCAGCACCGGTCTCGGCTGCCCTGGCCCCCCCAGCACCTGTGGGCACCAATGGCCTGGCCCACAATGACGGCAGGGACAGGACATGGGAGCCCAATTAGCTCCCATAGACAGGTGCATAGAAGCAAATGTGCTTCTGGCTTATTTTTCTTCCAACAGGAGTAATTCATAGGCAAATAAAATACTGTTAGGATCGTGACGTTTACCGCTCTTGCACGTGGTTTCCCCACCATGGGGTTCAGAAAGCGAGGCTTTCTGTGGGGGCGGCAGAGCAGGGTGCGCAGCCACCAGCATCCCCTCACGGGTGCTTCGTGAACACCAAGGTCCCTTTGATGGGCCTTGCCACTGCGGGGTCCCTACCCGCACAGATGCAATCTCTGCTGGGAGGATTTTTGTGCTGAAAGCACCTGTTTTGAGCCCGTGTTTTGTTTGCATTTTATCTATGTACCTTGTCCCCAAACTCCGGCATCTTACAGTTCGATTGCAGAGCAACTGTCATGTAGGGCAGTACGCTGTGATTCCCTGCCCCTGAAATTGTGCGCAGACCCCCGTGGGCCTCCCCAGCGCCTCAAGTGTCCCCTGTGGGCTCTGGGTCCACATGGCTCTCTCCACAGGGACAGTGGCACAGTGACGTCTTCAGTGGCCTAGGCAATATGACCCACTGCTCCGGGGCCATCTACCGCGGGATGTGGATCAATGGTCACCCAGTGGGTAGGTGCCTCTCCCACCCCTGCCTCCCCCTTGACCTTGCTGGGTCATCTGTGGGGTCTCTCCAGTGGCATCAGGCACTTGCATGGGGATGTTAGATCAGGAGGTGTTGGGGGGTGCTGAAGTGGGATCTAAAACCTCAGCCCCTTTAGGAAAAACACATTCCAATCAGGTTTGATAAGTGCTTGTGATGGGCTCAATTCACGATCTCAGGGTCCTGAGATGGAGCCTCGTTGTTGGGCTCCCTGCTCAGCGCAGTCAGCTGCTCCCTCTCCCTCTGCCTCTTCCCACTCATGGTCTCTCTCTTTCAAATGAATAAATTAAAAATCTTTTAAAATATTTTTTTAAATAAAATAATTTTAAAAATTTTTTTAAAGGTTTGTGACCAGCAGAGGTCCCAGCTGGGCCTCAGAGGCCAGCAGCTCTGCTGTGAGCAGGACATGCCAGCCTCAGAGGGTCCCCCACCAGCAGCTAGATGGCACCCCATCTAGCTCCCCTCCCTGAGCTCTCTGCACTGTGACGGGAGCGTAGGCCACCTGCCCTTCCTGGGGGCCACCTGCCCTTCCCTCTGTTGCCCCATCAGGTAGCCTCCTATTAGACTCTAGAACAGAGGTGCCACTAGGGGTCACAAGTCTGGGTGCTGCTGCTCACTCAGAGCCAACCAGGCGTGCACCTCAGGGAGGTCCCTAGAGTACCTTGCCTGGGAGATGCCTCAGCTCCAGGGTCAGGTGGAGTCTCCTTGAGGGACTCCTGGATCCCTCCCTGTCCCCACCCCCCCAGCCTCAGGCAGGCTCCACCAGGAGCACCTTAGTAACTTCACCTTGGGAAGAGACCCAGATCCCACCCCACCCCAAATTAGGAGTGTTCGAATCCCTGGGTGTGAAAGACTCAGGCAATGGGCATGAGACGTGGCCTTGCTTCCCTACAACAGAGTCTCAGCAAACGCTGGGAAAGCCTAGGACAGCTGGGGTGGGCTCTGGCCTCGCCCTGCTGGGTGTCGGGAGGTCCCCCCAGAACAGGGCTGGGCTGCGCCCATATGAACTGACACCCTCCAGCCCCCTGTCTCCATGAAGCCGCCGGCACCTGTCGCCCTGCAGGCACGCCTGTGTGTGCTCCCTCCTAGCTGGCATGTCCTTGATCAGGCTTTTCACAGTGATTGGTTTTAAACATCCTAGACCTTGTGCTGTGCCAGAGGTCATTGCCCTTGGGGACATCAGGGATACAGGGGAAGCAGACACTGCGAACATCATCTCCAGCTGCTCAGACCCCAGAGGATGCCCCGCAGGTCCAGCCTGTGGGTGGACGAGCCCTCGCCAGTCCTGCTCCCCAGCAGGTGGCTGCAGCACCGCATCTAGCACACATGGAGCCATTGACTCCAATGCAAGGAGTCCCAACCAACCAGAGGGTGTGCGAACCCGAATGCTGACAAGCCAGTTGCTCACCGCCCTTCAACATGTGGTGGACCTCTGAAGTCTCTTTAATATGACCAGTTCTGTAATAAGTTGCTTAGAAGTCACACTGACCCTCAGGCTGGGGTCACAGTCTTATCTTAGTGACTGCCTGAGTCACTTGGTGAGGTGGCTCGTGCTGGGACTCACAGTTCCTCTCCTGCAGAGCCCTGGAACCACACAGGTGTGGGAGGGCCCACATGGGGGTCACGCAGGCAGGGGCCCCACGGGTCACCTGTGCTGCCCTCTGCTCTGCTCTCTCCAGCACAAGCCAAGAGAATCGTGATTACAGGTCCAGAGGTGATGGACGTGGCTCAGGGGTCTTCCTTCACACTGAGTGTTCAGCTCCGGCAGGATAATGGTGAAGTGGCCAAAGGTAAGCATCTCCAGGACAGCGACTGAGTTTTCAGAAAGATCAACAGGCCTCAGGTTCTCAGGGTTACAGATGTGGTTCCTTGTATGGGGACACCCGTGATAACTATGTTCAGAGGTCCTCGTCACTAGGGCCTTGGCAGAGAGGCAGCAGGCATGTGAGGCCTCCAGCTGGCGGGAGCAACCATGTGCTTCCTATGCATGTGCACGTGCAAATGTGCAACATGCGTGCATGAGCCTGGAGCCATTGCACCTCTCACAGGAGGATGGGTGGCTCTTCAGTACCACTGGTGCATCTGTAGGGCACCAGTCACTCAGCCTGGTGAGAGGCAAGTCCCTGTTGTCCTCCATAGGTAATCAGGGAAGGACAGGTCTCCAGTAGATTTGGTTGCTGCTTGAGGAATCATATCAGCCGGGAGGTGATGCAGAGGGTGAACTGGCTAACCTCCCAGAGCCCTTCCCACTCATGAGCCGAACACCCGGTGCAGAGGGAGGTGCCCTGCCAGGGCAGCAGGTACAACCTAAGTACGACCCCAAGTACGACCATCGGCCCCTGGGTGGTCACTGTGCCAGGGCCAGTAATAAACGCCTGCCTGGGATTCTTAATGTCCATTAGTTCACCTGAGTTTAGCCAGCTCTAACAAGCCACGATGAGCGGCACGGACCAAAGACAGTCACAATTGGTTTATTTTAACAACTTATTGTGGTGTCACTTATACCGCTCAAAATCCTCATGTATTAAGTGATTCTGTGATTTTCAGTAAATTTACCGAGTTGGACAAGCAGCATCATGGTTCTGAGACCATTCCCTTCACCACAGAAATGCCACTCCTTCCTGCCCACAGCCCCAGTCCCCCCACCCCTCTCCATGGATTTGCCTGCTGTGGGCTCGTGGGGTGAGTGCAGTCCCACCATGCAGAGATTCTGGCTCTGTGTCCCTGACTGGTATCCTTAGCTGAGGCGCTTCACTGACCATGTCTGCGCCGGTCCCCCTGCTTGTCTGTTGGTGCACCTCTGAGTTCTTACACTTTGGGCAGCTGGGAACGTTCAGTGCGTGTCTTGTGCGGCCTCCATTTTTTGTCTCTCAGTTATGCCCTGGTGAGTGGGGCTGCTGGATCATCCGGCAGATTTATGTGTGAACTTTCACAGAAACTGCCAGACTGCTTCCCAAAGTGGCCACTCCACTCTACAATCCCGTCAGCCACACGAGGCTCAGTTTCCTCACATCCACAGCCACCCTGAGGGCATCGAGGGCATCCCACTGAGGTTCTGAGTCACACTCCCCTCACCACAGACAGTGTGGAGTAGCTCTTCGTGTGTTTATTAACCACGTGTGTGTCTTCTCTAGAAAAATGTTTATCCAACTCTGCTGCCCATTTTTTTTAAATTAGGCTGTTACTGTTTTTCAGTTATACAAGTTCCTTATGTATTCTGGATACTAGTCCTTTATCAGATACATATTGGCAAATACTTTGAGCTGTGGCTCATCTTGTCGTTTTCTTTGAATATTTTTTTAAAAACTGATAGACTGGGGATCCCTGGGTGGCTCAGTGGTTTAGTGCCTGCCTTTGGCCCAGGGTGCGATCCTGGAGTCCCGGGATCGAGTCCCATGTCGGGCTCCTGGCGTGGAGCCTGCTTCTCCCTCCTCCTGTGTCTCTGCTTCTCTCTCTCTCTCTATCATAAATAAATAAATAAATCTTTGAAAAAAAATAAAATAAAAAACTGATAGACTAATTGATTTGAGAGAGAGAGCGCAGGGGGAGGGACAGAGGGAAAAGGAGAATGAGAATCTCAATCAGACTCTCTGCTCAGCAAGGAGCCCAACTCAGGACTCAATCCCACGATCCCAAGATCATGACCTGAGCTGAAATCAAGAATTGGACACCTAACTAATGGAGTTACCCAGGCGACTTTCTTCTCATCATTTTCTTAATGCTACCTTCTGAAGTGCAGAGGTTTTTTTATTTTGATCAAAATTTGTCAATTCTTTCTTTTATGGGTCATAATTTTGGTAACATGTAGGAATGATTAGCTTGATGCATGTACACAAAGACATTCTCCTGTTTTCTGCTAAAAGTTTTGCTCTTGCGTTTCTGCAATCCATTCATAGTTAATTTTTGTGGGTAAGATAAAATTCTAAATTCATCTTTTCTCATGGAGATGTCCAATCATCCCAGCATCATGTGCCGAAAAGACTGTCCTCTCCCCCACTGAATTGCCTTGGTGACTCAGTCAACAGCCTCTTCACTATAAGACTGAGGGCTTTGACCCCCGTGTCTGTCCCTGCACTGCCACCATACCATCTTCCATTGTGAGTTTGAAAATTAGAGGCTCCTCCAATTCTGCTTCCCTTTTTAAGATTTTATTTATTTATTCATGAGAGACAGGGAGAGAGGCAGTGTCATAGGCAGAGGGAGAAGCAGGCTCCATGCAGGAAGCCCGATGTGGGACTTGATCCCAGAACTCCAGAATCACACCCTGAGCTAAAGGCAAATGCTCAACCTCTGAGGCACCCAGGCATCCCCAATTTTGCTTTCTTTTCCAAGATTGTTTTGGCTATTCTGGGAACTTCGAATTTATATAATTTTTTTAGGATCAGCTTGTCAGGTTTTGCTATTAAAAAAAAAAATTTAAAAGCCTGCTGGGATTTTGTTAAGGATTGCTTTGACTATGACCAGGAACAGCTGCCATTAATAGCACCGTATCTTCCAATCCATGAACATGGGACACCTCCCCATTTATCCATATCTTTTCTTTCTCTCACCAATGTTTTCTAATTATGTGTGCAAGTGTTGCACTTCTTTTGTTAAACTTATTAATAAATGATAACTTATTGGTAGTTAGGTTATAACAACTATAATTTGTTCACTAATAAATGTGTAATATTTATTCTTTTTATGCTTTTTTTTTTTAATTTTTATTTATTTATGATAGTCACACACACAGAGAGAGAGAGAGGCAGAGACACAGGCAGAGGGAGAAGCAGGCTCCATGCACCGGGAGCCCGACGTGGGATTCGATCCCGGGTCTCCAGGATCGCGCCCTGGGCCAAAGGCAGGCGCCAAACCGCTGCGCCACCCAGGGATCCCTCTTTTTATGCTATTATGAGAGGAATTGTTTCCTTACCTTTATTTCAGAAATTTCTAAGCTAGAGTCAATTTTTAAATATTGATCTTATATCCTTTGACCTTGCTGAACTCATTTGCTAGCTCTGCTAGTTTTGCTGAGAATTTCTTAGGATTTTTCTGTATAAAGAATCATGTCATCTGCAAAAATATCTGATTTTTCTTCTTCCCTTCCAGTCTGAATGTGTTTCTTTCTTTCATTTGCAATATTTTACATTCCCATTGGAAGTCTCTGGTTGATCAACATCTTTGCCAGCATTTGTTACCATGAGTCTTTTTTATTCTAGCCATCCTACTGGGTATGAAGTGACATTTCATTATGCTTTGATTTGCATTCCCCAAACAAGTAAGATATTGAGCATCTTTTTATGTATTTGTTGACCATTTGTATATCTTCTTTGGAGACATATCTATTCAGCTCTTTGCCCACTTAAAAAAATGAGTAACTTTTTTTTATTGTGAGTTATTTAGAGTTCTTTATATGCTCTGGTTGTAAATCCTCTTATGAAATACCTGCTTTGCAAATGTTTTTTCCCATTTTGTGAATTGCCTTACAGTTTCTTGGTCGTGTCCTTTGAACACAAAAGTTTTCAATTTGGGGAAGTGCAATTCACTTATTTTCTTTTGTTGCTTGTGCTGTTGGTTTCATATCCAAGAAGACTGCCTCTTTCAGAGTCCTGAAAATTTTATTTTCTTCTAAGAATTTTATATTTTTAGCTCTTACATTTACAACTATGATCCATTTGGAGTTAACCTTTGTGTATGGTGTGAGGCAGGGGCCAACTGCATTCTCTTTTGCATGTGAATGTCCAGTTGTCCCAGTGTCATTTGTTGAAAGGCTGTGATTTGCTCCATTGAATTATCTGGGCATTCCATTTGCTAAAATTTTGTTTAGAGTTTTTGCATATCTCTCCATGAAGGATATTGGTCTTAATTTTTTTTCTTTTTAAAAATTTTATTTTTGGGACACTGGGGTGGCTCAGCGGTTGAGCATCTGCCTTCAGCCCAGGGTGTGATCCCAGAGATCTAGGATTGAGTCCTGCATTGGGCTCCCTGCATGGAGCCTGCTTCTCCCTCTGCCTGTGTCTCCACCTCTCTCTCTCTGTGTCTCTCATATGAATAAATAAATAAAATCTTTAAAAAAATAAAAATAAAAAAATAAAAATTTTATTTTTAGGTAATCTCTACACCCAACATGAGGCTCAAACTTTTAACCCCAAGATTAAGAATCACATGACCTACCTACTGAGCCAGCCAGGTGCCCCCCAATTTTTTTTTATAATGTCTTAGTCTGGTTTTGGTATCAGAGTAATGTTGACCTCATGCTTCAGTTTTCTGGAAGAATCTGTTGAATTAGTATTATTTCTTTCTTAAATATTTGGTAGAAATATTAGAAATATTAGGCCATTGAGGCCTGCAGTTTCTTTGTGCAGACTTATAACTACCTACTCAACTTCTTTAATGAATATAAGGTTATTTCAGTTATCTATTTCTTCTTAAGTAAACCTCAGTGTTTTGTATCTTTGTGTGTTTTTAAAGATTTTATTTATTCATGAAAGACACAGAGAGGCAGAGACATAGGCAGAGGGAGAAGCAGGCTCCCTGTGGGGAGCCTGACATGGGACTCGATTCCAGGACCCTGAGATCATGACCTGAGCCAAAGGCAGCCACCCAACCACTGAGCCACCCAGGCATCCCATGTTTTGTATCTTTGAAGGAATATTCGTTCATTTCATCTAAGCTGTCAGATTTATTGTAATAAGTTTGTTCATAATATTCCCTCATTCTCCTTTTAATGCACTGATATCACCTCTTTTGTTCTTACTGTGGGTTATTGATGTCTTCTTTTCCATTTTGCCTGACTAGTCTGGCTACAGGTTATCAGTTTCATTGATAAATAATCAACTTTTGGCTTTATTGATTTCTCTATTGTCTGTTTTCTGTTCCATTAATTCCTATTATGGTCTTATTATTTCCTTGCTTCTGCTTACTTTGGGTTTAATTTGTTTGTTGTTGTTGTTGTTGTTTTGTTTTGTTTTAGTTTTTAAGATGGAAACCAATGCCATTTCTTTCACACCTTTCTTTACTAATACAAGAGTTTATTGCTATTAATTAACACCCTTAGTACTGCTTTAGCTGCATCCTGGAGATTTTTTTAAAGATTTTATTTATTTATTTATTTATTTATTTATTTATTTATTTATTTATGAGAGGGGCAGAGAGGCAGAGAGATAGACAGAGGGAGGAGCAGGCTCCCTGTGGGGAGCCCAGTTTGGTACTCCATCCCAGAACCCCAGGATCATGCATGACCTGACCCAGAGGCAAATGCTCAACCAAACCACTGAGCCACCCAGACATCCCTCCAGAGATCTTTCTGCAATTAACTTCTAACTTAGTCCCTGTGGTTAAGAGTCACACATTGTATTTCTTCAGTCTGTTTCAATGTATTGAGACTTTTTTTCATAGCATTGGTTCTATTTTGGTAAATGTTGTATGGGCACTTTGAGAAGAATATGATTTCTGCTTTTGTTGGGTAGAATATTCTATAAATATCCATCAGGTGGATTTTATGATACTATCAAGTTTACCATGTGCTTGCTGATATTTCTGTCTGTGCTTGTTCTATCAATTATTGACAGTGGTATATTGAAATCTCATTTTTCATACATCTTTTTACCAGGTATAGAATCCTGGTTCACAAAAAAAAAAAAAAAAAAAAAAAAAAAACCACCTGGTTCACCTCCCAGCAGTACAGCAGCACTTTTCCATTGTCTTCTTGTCTGCACTGTTTCCAGTGAGAAGTTGGCTGTCTTCCTTATCCATGTTTTCTCTGTACAAACATGCTTTTTCTCTAGCTGCTTTTAAGATTTTCTTTTTATCACTGATTTGAATAGTTTTATTTTTGATGCAACATGGTATGGTTTTCTTCATGTTTCTTGTGCCTGGGATCTGTTGATCTTCTTAGATCTGTGGGTTTATAGTTTTTATCAAGTTTGGGAATTTTTCTAAATAAATAAATCTTAAAAAAAGAAAAAAAAAGAAAAAAGGAAAGAGGTTCCTGGATGGCTTCGTTGGTTAAGCATCTGACTCTTGATTTTGGCTCAGGTATTGATCTCTGGGTAGTGAGATTGAGCCTCATGTTGGGCTCTGCATTCAGCAGGGAGTCTGCTTGGGATCCTCTCCTTCTTCCTCTCTCTCTGCCCCTCCTTCCACCCCTTCCCCACTCATGTGCTCTCTCTCTCCCTCCCTTCTCCCCCTCAAATAAATAAATAAATAAATAAATAAATCTTTTTTAAAATGGGGATTTTTCAGCCTTTATTTCTTCAAATAGCTTTTCCATCACAACTTCTCCCTCTTCTCTTTTAGGGGCCCCCTTACCCATGTTCTAGGGCGCTCAAAGTTTCCCCACTGTTCATGGATTCTTTCTCCCCTTCCCCCTTCCTCCCTCTTCTCTCTTTACCTTCATTTCTTCTTTTTCCCTTCCATAGCTATGTTTTCAAGTTCATTAATCTTTTTTCTGCAATATCTATTCTGTCCTTGATCACATGCAGCATATTTTTATTTTACAGTTTTTATTTCTGGAAGTTCAACTTTGTTTTTATATCTTCTGTGTCTCTATGTTTTGAATGCGTGAAATACAGTTATAATAAAAACTTTGAAAAAGCGCCCTTTCCTGCTAATTCTAACATCTGGGTCAGTTCTAGGTTGGTTTTAGTTGATTACGTTCCCTCCTCATTATGGACCATACTTTTCTGCATTCTTTGTGTGGCGATCTTTGATTGGTGCCAGACATTGAGAATTTTACCATTTAGGGGCTGGATATTTCTGCGTTCCCAAAACTTCTTGGGCTTTGTTCTGGGGCATAGTTGGCTTATTTGGAGACATTCTGATCCTCTCAGGTTTTGCCTTTATGATGTGTTAGGTGTGGAGGAGACCTCTGTCTGAGGCCCATTATTCCTACTCTTGAAGTGGGAGCTTCTGAGATCCCTGCCCAGTGTGGCCAACGGGAGTGAGCACCGCTCCCAAACTGCCAGGGTCAGGCCCCTGCCACCTTCTCAGGTGGCTCTTTCCCTGGCCTCTAGGCATTTCTTCACACTCGTGCACTGATCTGTGCTCTGCTGTGCACCTGAGGGGCCTGCACTTCTCTTTCTTTGCCTCCAGGCCTCCAGGACTCCTGCTGTATGCCTGTTGTCATGGATGTCCAGCTATTTCCTCACTGAGGAGGTTCCTGGGCTTGCTTAGTCCCCTCCCTCCACCCAGTCCACCTTCTCTAAGATAGTGACCTGGGCAGTTATGGAGTCGACACCATTGGTTCCCCATCTCTCAGGGACCGCTGTCCTTGCCTAAGGTCCAGGATCTTGAAAACCATTATATTATCATTAAATTTTGTCTGCTTTTTTGGTCTCTTCAAATAGGGTCATGGATTGGTTGCAGGTACTCCATCTTGACCAAAAGTGGAAGCTGGTCAAACCACAGTGGGCCGTGGCTCTCTACTCCTTTCCTTCTGAGTCAAAGTGTTTGCAGGACCCACCTGCCATGTCTCCTCTTCCAGAGGGACTGGACAATGGACCTCCACTGACACTGGTCAGTGTCATTGTTGGCTGTCCTGCAATGCACCCAGAGTCCACATGACCAGGCCCTGTGCTGAGTGCCTCAGGAGTGTAGACTAGGGAGACAGAGCCACCCCCTGAGTCGAGGTGGGAGATGGGTAATGGGTAGTGATGGCTCCCTGGAGGCAGGACCATACTGGAGACAAGCCTCCTGTGTGTCTGGTCTCGACAACCCCCATGCCCCTGAGCAGGTGAAGTCCTGAGGACAGCCAACAAGGAAAGGTTCTCCCAGAGGCTCAGCTTGGTCCCATGAGGCCCAGACCCCCCAGCAGGGCAGTGTGGATGGCTCAGCCAAGGGCCAGGAGGGGTGGGGAGGCCAGTAAGGTGGTTGGGGCTCAAGTTGAACGTAGTTGTGGCCTGGGCCAGCATCACTCCTATGGGAGGTCTGCTGCAATGCCCCTTACAGATGTCTAGGCCAGGACCAGGGAGGGAGAGATCCAGTGCTTGTCCCATTCTATTCCTTCCTTGAGACAGCCTGCTTCTCTCCCCTTTCCAAGGTGAGGACGGCCGGGTTTTGAAGATCTCAGCTGGTGTCAGGTACGTGCAGCTCCCGGCCTATTCGGAGGTCAGCTTCTTCAAAGTGAATAAGGACAGCCAAGAGACACCCATCCAGACGCCGTTGTGAGTATGGATGACCCTGGACAATACATGTGTGACACTGGGGACAGGGAGGAATGGGCCAGAATTGCTCTACCCAAACCCATCTCCACATCACTCTACACCAGCCAGGACTCGGAGGGCACTGACCGCCAGACACCATGAGCTCCATTTTGTGGAGAGGAAGCAAAGGCACCTGAGGCAGTGGGGGCTGGGCAAAGAGCCAGGAGCAGGAGGACTAGGGTTGCAGCAGGGTTTTAGGTGGTCCCAGAGCAAGACCAGCTCCCTGCTCCCACCCTTCTTCCACTAACTTTACCTCCCAGTGCCTGCCTCAGCCCCTTCTCCTCCTAGGAAGGGCCTCTATGCCACGGTGTCCCCTTCAGCCAGGTGTCCCTACCCTTCAGCTCGGCATCCACCAAAGCCCAGTCCCACCTATTCCCTTTGTAGTGGGTTTGAGTGCATTGCCTATCCTCTGTGGAGTCCCAAGTCTGGGGGCCTGGAGCCCAGAGCTGCCCTGGAAAGTGCCGGAGACCTGCTGCCCCCCAAGGGAGAGCTGGAGCCATCGCTGGCATCAAATACCTTTCGTGGCCAGAGGGACATCCCCGGTGGCCTCCCTGGTGAGTAGAGTTAACCAGCTGATTGGCGAGGGGTGGCATGAGTGCTTAGGGGCATGTGGGGTGACAGCGAGTGCCCCAGGAACTGGGCAGGAGGAAAATAAAGTTGAGCCTGGAGAACCCAGGCACAGTGACCCCAGAGGAAACAGGACATCCCAGGAAGGTGGTAGCAGGCCTGAGCAGGCCTCTCCTCTGCAAGGCCAATCACCGTGTCTGTGGGCTGACAGACAGGTAGGGAGCTACCTGTCGTGAGTGTCCAGGACTCTCAGGTGCAAACCCGGTGCCCAGGGTGGGGCTGGGGCACAGGCACTCCCAGGGGCCCCCACAGAGCTCATCTGGTCTATTGCTGTCAGCGTAAACGGAAGTGGTTTAGTTTGCACACCAGGAGCTGGTGGGAGAATGAAGCCCTGGGCTGATGGTCTCAGGGTTGTTTCTGCATCTGTCAGGCCGAGGCCTGGGCCCGCGGCAAACCCACCAAGGTCACTGTCACCAGGAGGTCTGTGGTCAGTGTGGACAGGACCTCTGAGTGTAGGAGCCCACCCCGGTGGCCCCCACCTGCCAAGGTCAGCCACCATCTATAGTCCTGTGCGGGTTTGCCTGGTTTTCCGGCTGATTCTGGGACTGTCCAGCATCTCTGTGTGCATTTGGCTCCGATTCCTCATGGAGACATGGCTCCTGGTGTCTGAAAACTTGCTGCCGTGGAGCCGCTGGCCTGGCTTTCCCATGGATTATTCCAGAATTACGCCTGGAAGCCAAGTGCTGGAGCTCAGGAGGTGAATCTAAGTTTCATCTCTGCATCTCATTGTGTCTGGGGTTCCTAGGTGCCCTCACACCATCCGATACGTCGCAGTCCCATGGGAGGAGCATTGGCATTACCCGAGGCATCCCAGCTGAGCATAGCCAGGGGTTCCTGCATGGCCCCCTGTGCCATCCTCACCACAGGAAACAGCTCACCAGATCCTTGAGGACCATTGCAAGCTTTGTTCTCGGGACTCAAGGGTCCCCAAGGGGCAAGTTCACACACGCATTAGCTGTGGGGGCCTCCAGGCTCTTCTTGGCCTTTGAAGAGGGGCCGTCCCCACAGTTAGGATCCCAGCCCTGGACACCACAGAGGGGTGCTTCTGAGTCACAGAGTGCTGGGCGGACCCGGCCTGGGCTCTCAATTGGGGGAGCCACAGGCTGGGAGGGGGGGGCTTGGGGAGCCTGGCCATGACCCCTCATCGGCTTCCAGCTCAGTTTATACGAGCAATTTTACGCTGCAGGGCAAAATGGTTCTCATATTTCTGTGTAAAAACACTCGCCGGGCGCCACGCCTTCCACTGGGAGGGATTTCAGAGCCTGTAATGAGGTCTCCGTGGAAACCAGGCCCAGAAAGGGGGCCCCCCACGTCTGCTCCTTGATGTTTAGTGCAGGCGGCCAGGGCCTGGCCGGCTGTGCAGGCTTGGGGTGCTCGCCACTCGAGGGGCAGGTCTCACCCCGTGCTCGCGGGGCTGGTCTCAAGCTGCCAACACGTTCAGAGACGTTTCTAGCTTTGCTGAGGTGCGGGTGTGGTGCTGCGGAAAATTATCTTTCGGGAGACCGGGGAGGAACGTGCCTTTGGTTTTATGAGAAGCACTCAGGTTGGAGCCCTGAGCCTTCGGGGTGTGAGCTCTGAAGGCATCGTGGCTGAGCCCAAGCCCCAGTCCTTGGCCAGGTGTGTCTGGGGGCTGCTGCCTACAGTGGGGCTGCTGCTTCTCAGCCCTTCTCTGGCTGGGCACCGCTGTACCGACCTCCTCTTCTGCAAGATGGTGAGCAGCATCTGCCCCCAAGATTGCCGCCCCATTGTGACCCCCTTCTGTCCCCCCCTCCGGGTGGCAGGCCAGGAACATGCACAGCTGCCCAGGGGTCAGGAAGGGTTGAAGGGCTTCAACTCCATTGATGTGAACATCTCACATGCTTCTGCTTCTCTTACGGGAACGGGGTCACCTCCAAATGCTCTGGAGGACCGCTGGCCCTGACCGATCCCATCCCAACAGCTGCCCCAGAGCACCCCTCGCCCCGCTGGTGCTCCAGCCTGGAGCATGGACATGCTGGCTAGCCGTCTGTCCTCTGGTGCGTTCTGCAAAGAGTAGATGAAGCCATTGCACATATCAGTTCTGCTGCAAATAGGGCGGGGGGTCCCGCTGTAAGGAGAAAACCCCAGCTAAACCCAGGGAGCTTGCTGTGTGGACTCTAGGGGGTGCCAGCTGTGGGGCAGCCCAACAGTGTGTGAGCCCCTTGCACCAGCTGGGGGGGGGACCCAGAAACAGACCCGGGGGGATAGGGAGCTGCTTGGTGGGAAGGAGGTAAAGCTTGTTTTTTTTTTTTTTTTAATGAAATGGCTTATTCTGTGACTATGTGGGGAAGACATCCTTAATTTGTAAGTTTTCCTTATCCGTTATCCTGAAAGAGCAAGAAGTGTGGCATTCCATGGCAGCCCCCACGTGTATGGGCAACATAATCAGGGATCTTTCTCTCAGACAAGCGAATGTCTGTATTCTCAAAGCCAAACCATAAACTGTGTCATTCTCATGCTTACCCCTGGCCTGGCACAGTGCCTTCTCGTATGGCTCCCAGATCTTGGCCCTCTTCCTCCTGCCAGACCGTCTCCCAGGACCCTGGAACCCCTTTCAAGCCTGCAATGAGTCAGGGTCGAGCCAAGAGTCACTGCCTCTGTCTAACCGGGGTGACAGCCACATGTGTTTGAAAGTCTTGGGAGCATCTGCTGGGGGCAGCCAGCCTGCAGCCGGGACATACGGACAGGCCCCTAAAGTGCAGCCTGGAGGGTTTAGGCCCAGAGAGCAGTCAATACACGCCTGAAATAGATGTGGGCCAGAACATCTTCCAGGTGACCGTCCCTCTTGAAGCTACTTTCTGTGGCCCTGAGCAGGGGGTCCACTGACATTTCTTCCTGCACACAGACTCCAAGCCCAGGGCTTCCCTCTCAATCAGGATCACAGGCGACACTGGACGCCCTCCCGTGACCAAGCAGGTGCTGTGCAAGCAGACAGGAGCGCAGCTAGTGGAAGCCTCATCCCAAGGACATGCTTTTGCTCCCCAGAAGCACCCCCCCCCCCGCCAGTTCCGCGATCCTGAGCTCATGTAAGAGCCTGCTTCTGACAACACAGCAATGGCTTCAACTCCATTGATGTGAACATTTCACATGGACATTCAGAGGCAGGGGATGTCCCCCATGATCGCCAGGGATCCCCATTCCCGTTTCCTCTTCTACTCCATCGACCTTCCCACACCACCCTGTGGCCCCAGAGACCTGCACAGGTGCCAGTTATCATACCCCTGTTCCAGACAGCAGGAAGGGGGAAGTGTAAGAGGTAATGGACCTTCTCTTCTAAGAAGCGTCCCTTCTAAGACACCCACTGTCACTTCTACCTCGTTGGCCAGAACTTGGTCACATGACCATACCAGCCCACAAGGAGACAAGAAATACAACTTGCCAGCCAAGATCAGGCTCTGTTACCCGAGAACAAGGGGAGGATGGGTATATCGAGTCATCGAACCCAACCTCAGCTTACAGCAGAGAGCAAGGCCCTGGGCTTTCTGCCACCTCCAGGGACTGATCAGGCTGAGGGGCCCTTCCTTTACATCTCTCTATGGGAAGTGCGTCCCATGTGTGCAGTCCTGCCATGTCCCTCAAACTCGTGCCCCGGTCCCATGACAGGACTGTAAGGCAGCGATCCGTGGGTTTGGTAAAACTGAGACTGGTGGTAAAGATGCTTAGTGTGTGAGACCAATGGGCAGTGTGAAGGTGGGGTCCCACAGCACCAGGACCTGAGGAGGGCTGCAGAGGGCCCTGCCTTGTGTCTCTGTCTCAGGGTTCACTCACGGTCAAGAAACAGTGCAGGATCCACCCTGGTCCTGGACAGGTGTCCCCCCTCCCTGACCCAGTGGTGGGTGAAGGCAGGGCCAGGGGCCTGGCCATCTGGTTTTCTCTGCAGGCACCCCTCACAGGCATTTGCTCCTGGAGGTACTGCTGGGTGTGGGCTGGGCCACCAGCAGGAGTCACAGACAGGCCACCTGCCCCTCCCCACCCTGCCCCTCCTGTCTCTGTGAGCCCCACTGGAAGGATGCACCAGTGTAACAGGATGTCCTTGCCCACCTCATGGTCGACTCTGAGCACTTTGGGGTTTCCATTCTCAGCAGCCAGGAGGTTGGGTGCCTGGGAGTGGAAGGAGGAAAGGGGCTGGAGCCACCCTACAGGGAGGCATCGCGGCGGAAATCGGAACAGGCATCATCCACACTTGAAAGCAAGTATCCGTGTTTCTACGTGTTCTTGAGCTCATGCGCACATGGCTGGGGTCCACGGAGCACAGTCCCCAGCAGGCCAAGCAACTGTAGGCGCTCAGTGCTCTCTCCCCGCTGTACACCGGGTTTCTCCAGCCACGTGCTCCTAGCCCCTCCAGTCAACAGAACGTGGGGCACATGGACGGGACATGGGCACCCAAGGCAGGGCTCCGCCGGCCCTTCCAGTTCATTCCCTTGCCCACACCCCACAGGGACCAGCTGCTCAGCCTGGCCTCACCCGTCCAACCCACAATTAAGAAAGCGAACCCTCTAAAACCTTAGTTTCCAATCACGCAAATAAGTAAAAGGAAGGGAGAAAATTCTCTTTCCAGAGGCCTCATGTCAGTAACATGTAATTGCCAAAATCAGTGTTTGATTATTTTGTTGATATGAAATATTTCAGTCATTGAATTGTTTTAACTTTCGAACAGACGATTTGCGTTTTGCTGAGAACAGGCGATTTCATGGGCGTGGACGATCGCCAGGTTTTCTAAACCCTATTTTGGTGAAATTACAGCACCCATGTTTCAGTGACAAAGCACATTGATGTTATATTCAAAAAGATTTTTATATTTAGATGTTTAACCTTTTGTAATTCCCACCCACAGCTTTCCATGGTAGCGCCCTTTTCTGTAAATTGCCATCAGTGGGGTGTCTGCTCACCCCCTGGCAATTTAGGCCCATTGAGTCCTAATGCAGGTGCTGATAATTGCTGCGGGGACATTGTCAGGCAGCGGAGCCCAGGGGCGCAGACAATCCCCCGTAAATTGGATTTGGGAACCTAATAAAGCTGTAGCAGGAGAACCTCAGATTGCATCGGGCTTGCTCTCTCTCTCTCTCTCTCTCTCTCTCTCTCTCTCTGTCTGTCTTTTAAATGCACAAAACCCTCCCAGGAAACGTTTCCAAATGATCTGAGTGGTCCCTTTTTTCCATTCGTTGAATAAATGCTTTTGAGTGTTCATCAGATGGGACCTACGAAGAATCACCCGTAATTTAAGATGATTTTAAAAATCAAGGTGTCCTTTGCTGCTAATCCAATCTTGCCAATAAAAGCGACGGAATGTGTAGCAGAGAACTTCTGGAAATTTCATTGCTGCTTGGGGTGGTAACACACTATAATATTAACTGTCTATGGTTAATGATGACAAGATTGGCTAGCATGAAAGACCCGTATTTTTAAAGGGAAATTTGTGCTGTAGGTTTCTCATTGAGGAATCCTACCAGGTAGAGGGAATGTCCCCAACAAGTACAGACGGATTCTGTGGTACCTCCAGGGCCAGCGCAGGAGGACCAATGGGATGAATTCAAACGTCTGCCTGAAACCACACATCCGAGGGATGGGCGGCCACAGGACCTGCAACCGCAGCCCCCTCCCCAGCAGCTCCCCAGTCTCTGTCCTTCCTGCAGCCGCCTGCCTGGTCTGGGGCCTGGGCTCAGCCACAGGGTAGGCGCCCAAGGGCCACGCCCAGGCCCCCAAGAGCAGATCTGTGGGGTACCCTGGAGAGAAAAGAGGGCGGCAGACAGGCCCGGACATTCATCAGGCTGTGCTAGTGCTGAGCTCTCGCAGGG